TAATTCTATGTATTTTCCCTTCTAATCCCTATTAGTATAGTTGCTTAAAATCCATTTGTCTGATATGAATATGGGTACACTAGTTTTCTTTGGCTAGGATTTGTACGTTATACATGCTCCCAGGCTTTCATTCACAGCTTTTCAGTGTGGTTTCATTTCAATGTACCTCTTTTTCTTTATTGAAATATTATTGACGTATAACATTATGTTAGTATTAGGTGTACAACGTAATGATCTGATATATGTGTATATTGAGAAGTGATCACCATGATAAGTTTAGTTACCATCCATCACCACACTTTTTTTTTTTTTTTTTGGCTGGTGATGAGGACTAGAAAATTCTTTGCTCTGAGGAACAGTCACAGCACGGTACATATTATAGCCTATTTAGCAGCACCCCTGGCCTCTATCACTAGATGGTGGGAGCACCTCCCAGTTGTAACAACCAAAATATCTCTAGACATTGCCTCTAGTCTGTCCCCTGTCTCCTGTCCCCTGGGAAGCAAAATCATCTCTGGCAGAGAACCACTGCTCCAGGGAAAGGATAGAGAGGTGTTTATTAAGCCATTCTTACAACTTTCCTATGGATTTCAATTTTTTCCACATTAAAAAAAACAAACAATAGACCCCACGTCAGGAGAAGGTGGCCGTGGGTGGGTGAGGACCATTTACGCCTCTAGCTGAGTCTTTATAGCTATGGCCCCTACCACCTGCGAGCTCCCTGAGGGCAGATGTCTTTTCATCCCCATCGCCCCACAGATGGCTTGGCCACAGCAGGGTGCGTCAACACTGGGCAAACTCACAACATCGCCCTCTACAACAGGGGATTGCCTCGTGGGCCATCAGTTGGGCATGTCACCAGCTGATGGGGCCAGAGCTAAGAGCCAGCTGAGACGAGGTGGAAAATGGAAGCCCGGACTCAAAGGGCGAAGGATGGAAAGCAGGGTGGGATGCTCGCAGAGGTGCACGAAGGTGGCTTCGAACAAGGCTGGCCGGACATCAGCATGTGGCTTTGGGCTCCCAGCGAGCCCAGTGTGGGATGTGGGGACTTTCCATCAATCCAGGCAGAGAGGGGTATCCTGACCAAGCAGTGGAGAAAGTAGCAGCCAGTATATCGACTGGGGATGGGAGAGCCATACCTGAGACCAAGAGCCTTAGGCCTCCAGCGGCAGCCCTCTCTCCAAAGGTAGCAAGATCCCTGGCTACAGACCTCCGCCTCTGCAGCCATCATTGCCACCCAAACTGGACTAATGGAAGTTCCAGAAGGAGAGACCTGGACAAAAGGAGGAGGAGGGATGGTGGGATGTGGGGCCATGGACTCCATAGAGAAGGCGTCTTATCTGGCCTGTGCCCGAGAACAGCCACTTGGCTTGAATCCTAGGACGTCTATGGCAGTCCTAGGGCCCCGAAGACAGAGTTACCCATAACCCGAGGGGCCTGACAGCCCTGTCTGACTCCTTCTCCTACCACCAGTCTGCTTCCTCATATCACCGCTGCCATGCTGGCCTCCTTGCTGCTTCTTAAGCCAATTAAACTGAGTCCTAGCCCCAGGGCCTTCACACTTACTATTCCCTCTCTATGGAATACTATGCCTCACATCCTCTCCCACTTCCTCCCTCACTTTATTCAGCTCACACATCACTCTCTCAAAGAGGCCCTACCTGATCACCAAATGCACCCTAGACCATTCTGGGCTGACCTTGTTTCCCTCGTGGCAATTGTCACCTCGGTCCTGAAATGGTTGCTGTTATTCTCTTGCGTGTTAACTGTCTGTGTCTCTTTTTTTTTTTTTAATTTTTTTAAATGTTTTCTTTATTCTGAGAGAGAGAGAGAGAGAGCATGAGCAGGGGAGGGTCAGAGAGAGAGGGAGACACAGAATCCAAAACGGGCTCCAGGCTCTGAGCTGGCTGTCAGCACAGAGCCTGACGCGGGGCCCAAACCCACGAACCGTGAAATCATGACCTGAGCCGAAGTCGGACGCTCAACTGACTGAGCCACCCAGGTGCCCCCTGTCTGTGTCTCTTGCTAGACTGCAAACTTTGTGAAGGTAGAGACTTCACCCCAATCATAGCCACGCGCCCTGCAATGCCTGGAGCATAGTAGATGCTCAATACGTACTTGAATTAATGAAATGCTTTAATTAATGTTCTTTCTGAGCTCTGGTAAGATTTTCCTCACCTCCAAAGGAGAAAGCGCTGATTCTATCTCTCTGCCTCTGGACTCCTTGTTTGGCCAAACGCTTTTTTCCTATGTCAGGGTGGAAAAGGTGATAAACTCTATTTTTTGGAAGAGCAGAGGAGACCACAATGAGCATGACATTGGGCCTCACTTATCACAGTTTGGCCGCTAAAAATGGATTCCCCAAATGCAGATTCTGGCCGGCCCCGGAAAAGCCAACATCATCTTGAACATCATTGGACTGGAAGTGTCCAGTGTGTTCTTTCCCTCACTCTTTGCATGAAGACTTCCTCCTAACCCCGCAGATATCAGCTCAAATGTCATCTTCTCTGAGCGGCCTTCCCTGGAGCCTCTAGTCCACATCATTCTGTCCCCTGAAAGGCAAATTCCCTTCCGAGCAGGACTCCCATTTGTAATTCAATATCATTTGTCTGCTCTCAGTTGATTGGCTGCCTCCTGCCCTAGACTGTTGGCCCCACAAGGGCAGGGGTCTTGCTTCTACTGTGTCCTCTGCGCATCGGTCCCTGGCGCTGTCCCGGACCAGAGTAGGTGCTCACTGAGCTCATGTCGGAGGAACTGGTGAGGAGGCTCTCCCCAGAGGCCTCCAGCCCGCAGAACCCATTTCACTGCCCCTCACCGAGGACCCCTCTGTGCCCCTCCAGCCGGTAAGGGAGACACGCAGTCCAGCCACTCTCTCCTTCTCCCTAGCATCCCAGGAATTCTGCTGGAAAACTGCCAGAGATGGGCTACTTGCTTCCTCCCTAATGCTGGGCCAGCACAGTGTGGAGTCATTGCGGGAACCCTCTTGCTCACCAGAAAGACCCCCCCTCCTGGCCATGGGCAACAGAATGGAGACTGTCCTTGTGGGAAGAGCTCAGTCCTTGGTACTCCCACCCCTCACTGCTACAACAAAGCTTCCAATTCAAGGTCACAACCTTCCCCTTTAAGACCTCAGTTGGCATAGGGCTTGGTTTTCAGAGTCTTCACACCCTTTCCCCACCCAACCCCACCCTATCCCCACCCAAAACCTTCCTGAGGCCCCCAGAGAAAGCCCCATCTCATTGGCCTGACATTCCAGGTGCTTCATGAGGTGGAGCTGTGTAGACAGTCTGGCCCCCACCACCCCACGCCTGCTTATCTGGGCCCAGGGCACCCTGGGCCCTTGCACAGCCCCAGGAGTCTGCATGTGCCATTGAGCCTTCTTCCGGGACATCTTCCATCCTCTGCACTCTGAGCTCTCTGGAGCAGAGATCTGCAGCCCTAACAATGATAGCAAACCCGTACTGCGTGATTCTGGTGAGCTCCGCGTGTTCTAAGTCCTTTGCATTAAACGTACTTAATCCTCACTGCAAAAAACCTGGTTCACACTCCCCCTTCCTGCACTCATTCACTTGACAGTATTACATACTCACTGGGGGCCACATGCCACTCTAGATTAGGGGCCAGAGCTGAGAACAACATACACAAAATTCCCTGCCCTCTGCAGCTTCTGTTCTAGGAGAATGCGCTACAGACAACTAATGGAAAACAGAGGACGTATGAAATAGTGATTAAGGCTATGAGGAAAAATAAAGCAAGGAGGGGTATACAGAGGCTCTGGGGGTGGGCTGCCCTTTAAATATTGGAGTCCGATAAGGTAACATTTAAACAAAGTCCCAAAGAAGGTGAGAAAGCAAGCCAAGCCTGTACCTGCAGCGAGAATGGCCAGGGCGATGCATCAGGGCAGGACTCGAGGGAGCCCAGGGGAGCCTTGCGGGCGAGCTGGGGAGGACGGGGGAGGTGCAACCGGCGGGAGCGGGGTGGGGGAGGCGAGGCCACGTGGTGTGGACCCGTGGGCCACTGGAAGGTTGCAGGGCCCTGAGAGGGAGCTATCAGCGAGCCAGCATGGTAACAGAAAGAACGGGACGCTGAGGGACACAGTGGCTCTGAGCAGTGGGGTAGAGTGGAGAGGGAAAGGTGTCACTGGGTGCTGGGTCTCCGGATATATCTGAGAGCAGAGCCCACCTGACTTCCTGATGGTCAGCTCAGATGCGGGCATGAGAGACAGAGGAGAGTCCAAGAGGCCTCCGGGGTCTCCATCCAAACCCCCAGGAGGATGGAGGTGTCAGCTGCTTCACGGATTAGGGAACGAAGGCGCACAGTCAAGTAACTTGCCCCGGGTCACACCGCCCGTCATTGGCCAAGCTGGGATTTGAACCCACGCCTCTGGCTTTGGAACCATGAGCTCCCCAACCCACTGTGGCGCTTCGCGAATGTCACACCTTAAAAGAAGAGTTTTCGAGAGAAAGAGGTGGAGACAGCGCCTGGATCGGAAATGGGACTGCTTCCTGTGAAGGCTGGCTGGAAGCGAAGCATCGGAGCACAGACTCGGGCTTACTGAGCACCCGTCTGCGGGATTCTAGGAAGCCACGTGTGCCGAGGCCCAGCTTGAGCCTGTCGTGTCACTCAGATGGCCTTGGCCATGCCATCCTGTTTCCTGCAGTGTCCCAGGAGTGCCCCCGCACCTGCGGGTGCCTGACACAGGCAGCCGCCTCACCTCCATCCAGCTCAAGGTGCTGTCACCATGGAGAGACACCAACAAGCGTCCACAATTCTTGGGCAACACAGGAGGGAAGGGCTCCTCCTCGTTTCAGGGCCCAGGCCCAGGCACGTTGGAGTGTGGGCTGGGGGTGGGGCCTGGGGAATTCTGGGGCACAGCCTGACACCCCAGAGGAGAGCAGCACCCCAGCACCCCTGCTGCTCCTCCTGGGTGCCCACGGAGGGCCCAGCACACTCCATCTTAGCCCCTCCTCCCTCAGCCCTGCCGAAGAACAACTGCCAACCTCAACTTGCAGATGGAGAAACTGAGGCTTGGTGAGGCAAGGTCACCTGGCTGAGATGAGACAGCGAGGAAATGGCAGAACCAGTTTGAATCCCCAGGCCTGTGTTCTTTCACTCTGTCCCGGGCTTCTCACGGGAGCCAGCATGAGGGCAGTCCATTCCTGCAAACCAAAAGATTATTGTAAATTTGGGCCCCAAGTTCGTTTGGCAGGTCCTAGTCCCTGCCCTCCACTTAGCTGTGAGGCCCCAAGCCAACAATTTCATCTCCCCGAGCCTCACTGTTCTGTAAAATGGGAGAGTGACCACGCCTTCCTCAATGACTGCCGTAAGGTCCAAATGACTGCGTGTGGCGCTCAGCAGGCAGGCTGTGTGTAGCAACCCCTACAGGGAATTCTGATGAACACTCTTGCTTGGACACTGCTGTTTCGGGGCATCAACCTGACCATGTTGCTCTTGTGTTCCTTTTGGTGTCTCCCTTCTGGAAAAGTCCAAGAGGCTCAGTGTGACCTAAGCTGATGAGAAGCTATTTATTGATACTCTTTATTATTTGCAGTGACTTTGCCATATTTATACTTTGTGTCGCAGAAAATATCAGTGTTGGGTTTTTTTCATAGAAAACCCCCCATTGGCAGTGTTGTGTTATATATGGCATATTTTCTCTTTGTAAAATCTGAAAACCTCAGAATTCTGAAACCTCTGGCCCCCAAGTTGGGGATAAAGGGTTGTGGATCCTTGAATCTCTGAGGCACCTTCCAGGCACCAGGCTTGAGCACAGGTGATTGTCGTTAATCCTCACAGTCACCGAAGCAGACGCTAGCTCTTCACCCATTTGGTAGATGAGAACACTGAGGCTCCAAACAAGAAAGCAACGTGCCCAGTTCACACAGCCGTAGAGTGAACCTCAGACCGCCACTAGGAGCCACACAGGAGCACAGGCCATGATTTTCTCCTGCCATCTGCGAAGTCCACCAGCCCAGCTGGGGGCCAGGCACACAGGACAGAGGCATGAGTCACAGCCACTGGCCTCCAGCAGCTTGCCATCTGATTGGGGAAATAGACCATAGCACACCAGTCAGGGCCATCAGGGAGGGCTTCAGCCACTGACTAGATCCTTGGACTTTATCCAGAAGGCCATGGGGAGCCATGGAAGGGTCTAGAGCAAGAACATGACAGGGTCAGGCTGATGCCCTAAGAAAGCGTTTCCCAGACACGGGCAGGCCTGCCGGGCCCCACCCCAGAGTTCCTGATTCAGTAGGTCTGGGGTGGGACCGGGGAATTTTCATTTCTAATAGGTTCCCAGGTGACGCTGCTGCTGGTGGCGTGGGGAACCCCACTCTGAAAAAAATGCTGTTTTAGAACCACACAGTGGCATGGAGGGTGGCAGGAGCACCCGAGTATTTACTGGAATAAAGGCTGTCACATATGCGGTACTGGGAACATGCCACATTGATCACTCGGTCCTCATAGCTCACAGATGATGAAGTACTGAGACCCAGGGAAGAGAACTACCCACACGGAGCCACACAGCTAGTCACTGTGGAACAGGGAGTCCATCCTGGGACCTGGGGCTCCAGAGGGACCTCCCCCACTGTCCCCTTCCGAGATGGGGCCTGAGATGGGGCCCTTGGGGGACGGGACTGGGTCCTGTCATTTGTAAGCTACACGGCCACTAAGCTAGAGTTTGCGAGTCCGGCAAATAGGTGTGAGGGTTGCTGCCTTCCCTGGGTCCTCTCACATCACCCGGGGACCCCCAGCCGTCACGAGTCTGCCCTCGACCAGGACACATTGTGGCTGCTGCAGAGGGAGAGAAAGGGGCCGTCGGGGTGAGCCTGGAGACCCCGCCCCTGGAGCAGCCCCTGGCCCTGCCCGGAATGCCCCAAACGGCTGCCTTAGGGAAATCAAGGCAACTTTCCTCCAATCACTTTCCAGTGGGTTCTTACCGTCAGCACCTGTTTGGGGGACCCAAGCTTGGACATGACCCTCTTCTCTGCACCCCAGGAAGGGAGGACACTGGGGGGGTCAGTGGCTGACCTCTGTCTGCTCCCAATGAGACTTAGAGTCCCAATCACCTTCCTGGTTGAGTGGCCTGAGCCCCGCTCTTGGCCTCTTCTTCCCCGTTTGCAGACCGCCCGACTCACAGGCTGCACGTGGATGCGACGCAAGGATATCAGGAAAGCCACCACTTCCTGAGCACCTACTATGTGCCAGATCCATTCCCAGATATCTGCCAGGCACCCTATGATTGGCATGATAGATGCAACCCAGCAGTGCGGGTCTGCTGTCTCCCTAGATGGCCCAGGGGACCCCACCAGCGCTACCTCCCATGGCCATGCTCACACAGGTTTTCTACATTTGATTTCTTAAGAGAGAAAGAGAAAGATCGAAGCAAATGAGGCAAATCATGGAGTTAAACAGGAGTGAGGGGTACTTGTCCCCAGTACGATTTCATGAACTTCCATATGCTTGAGATACTTTATAATCCAGTCATGCTGGCCCAGGGAGCACGCAGCTGGCCTGGTGAGGGAGGAGGCACCGAGGAACTGGGTCAGGAGCCGGCCAAGTTCCTTGCTGTCCAGATGTGATGGTGAAGAGCGGAGGCTGTGACTCACCAAGAGATGCTGGGGTAATCTGGATGTTTCTGAAACTCTGAAGTCCCCCACGCTCTTGTCAGCTCCTGGCAGAGGTGTGGACCTGGTGAGCCCATCCACCAGCCAAGTGAGCCAGGGTGCCCAAGGTGGGGGCCCCTCAGCCTTCCCTTCTGAGGCTCCCCCAAAGGAGCTGTAGGCCTTTTCTGGGAAGCCCTGTGGCTCTAGCACAAGGCCCCGGGGCCACCACCGCAATGGCCAATCGGGTGGGCCTTTGGGCCCCGCAGACCAGCCAGAGACAGCAGAGCCAGCTCGGAGTTCCCAAGCCCCAGGCCTGGCGGAAAGCCCCTTGCTGCACAAGTGGGCTGGCTACAGCTTGTTGTGCTGTTGCTAAGTTCTGCGCTGATCCATCCGGGCCTCATGGGTTTTTTCCTCTGGTTTCATGTTCTGACGGGAACTGTGCAAATCTGGAGCGCGTTAATCGCAGCCACAGCATTCCAGAGGGTGTGACGCTGTGAGTTCCTCCCTGGCCCCAGATCTTGAGTCCACACCCTCCCGGCTCAGAGGACGATCAGGAGAGCAGCTCAGGCCGAGGCTGGAATATAACCTATAGGATCCATCCCTCGCTGTCCTTTCCAGAAGTTATAACTTGCCTTCCAGATAGATGGCTTTCGGGCCAATACTGAATTCTGCTTCTGGGCTCCACAGCTCCCCTTTCCGGTATTTAAGTCCTCAGCCTCATTCCACAGCGCCCTGTGCTGGCTCCCTGAGCCAGACCAGCCCTTTCCCCAGACATCCTAGTGCCTGGGTTTCACCTCTCCCTCCTTCCTGCCTCCACACAGCTAGACCTGGCCCCTAAGTCCTTTGCCCTCTCCTCTTTTCCTTCACTAATCATGCTCTTCTAGACATTTACGCATTAGAAGAGACAGACAATACCGTATAATTTTTAAGTTACTTATACATTTTATAAATAGGATAATTTTGGGTGGAAATAAGCCGTTAGAAGGAAAACCAAAGTGGGCAAGTGTGAAGAGGAGACTAGGGTGTACGTGTGAGAGAGACTTGAGGGCACAGCAGATGGGGGCCCAGGGACGCCCTATGGAGGTAGTATTTGGGCAGAGGCCTGGAAGGGAAAGCATCCACAGCGGAAGCATCTGGAGAAAGACATTTCGGGGGAGGAAACGGCAGGTGCACGCACAGGCTCCGAGGGGAGCAGCAAAGAGGCCAGTGTGGTTAAGGCAGGTGAGGGACCAGGCAGGAGGAGAGGAGGCTGAAGGGAACTTTGGTGAGCTATAAGGATTTCGGGCTTTCCTACAAAGACGATGGAAAGCTACTGGCTTGTCGAGCGCACCGAGGGGACATTCTCCAAGTCGTGTTTTGAAAGGATCTTTTCTGGCGGCCTGTGAGCCAAGAGTGCAGGATAGGAGCTTCCTGCTGCAGAGAGGACTGGCCAGGCCTTAGGGGCAAGCGGTGGTGGCTTCTGGAAGAGACGGTCGGTTTAAGGGTACAGGTTGGGGGGTATGAGAGAAAGAGAACGAGTCAAAAACCACTCTGGGGCTTGGGGCCGCACAGCTGTCAGGAGGCAGGAGGGGGTAGCGAGGCTGTGGTGGGGAAGAGGTGAGCAGGGCAAGTCCGTGGGGGTGAAACGAGAGGTCAGTTTGCGTTCCAGACGGCGTGGAGCCTCATGAACCACGGAGAAAATAAACAAACCTGCTCTGGCTTAGTCGGGAGGACGGCAGTGAAGTCACTGGGGGCTTTTAGGCAGCAGGATTCCAGAGCGGTTCAGATGTTACCCCCTCTGAGCATCCTCCTGGTGCAAGTCACAGAGTGACTCCACCTTGAAATCTTGACTCAGTTTCCCTAACAGTTTGTTTCACTCTGAAAGCTTTTTGCTACCTTCTGGGCACGGTGCCGACTCCTGCACCAGCACTGTTGCATTCATCGGGAGGTGTGGACACTGCACCACTCTACCGTTTCACAGAGAAGGAGGCTGGCACAGAGAGGATCAGCAACTTGCCTGAGGTCACACAGCCGGGAAGCTGGGATTCAGGTCCAGACAGCCTGGCTCCAGGGTCTGTGTGTCAAACCACTGCACTCCACCATCTGACTCTTATCACCCCTGTCACCAACCCCCGCCACACACACACGCAGTGCTGTGCAGCTGTGCTCGATAGAGGTACCTGTGCGAGACAGCTCGGCTCCAGCCTGATTTTACCGCAGGCCTCCTCTCTGTGTTTATTAATGTGCTAGACAAATATTTATATGTGAAGGCCAGGGCTGGGGACCCATGTTTCCTGCCTGTGCAGGGATGGAGGGAGGAGGTGCAGGGGAGGTGGGGGACAGAGGAGGAATTTAGTCCTGCAGAATCCTCAGTGCCCGGAGAGAAGGAAGCCACAACCAGGGCCTGGATGGCCCCAGGGCTGGGGGCAGGAGAGCTAAGGGCTTAACAGAGCCTGTCTTAGAGTGACCTCAACTCTGTGTGACCACAGACAAGTCCCCCCCTCTCTCCCAGCCTCAGTTTCTGCCTGGCTATAAAGGGGGCAGTGCCAGCCGCCTCCTAGGGCCACCGTGAGGGT